AATAAAGTCACATAAGCTAAAACGAAAAGAATTTAAATAAAATAAAATATAAAAATTAATATGAAATAAAATAAAACAAAACAAAAAAATATAAAGTAAAATAACAAAAAAAAGCAACTTAAAAAAAACTTAAGCGTAAACAGATTATATAATAATAAACCATAGAAATATAAAATAAAATTTAAAAAAATAGAATAAAATAAATTAAAATAAAAGTACTCACTACTCTCATTGAAGGTTAAACCAAATTAAAAATAATAAATTTTAATAAAATAAATAAAAGTGAAATTAGACAAAACGAAAAGTAATGAAACAAAATATAATATTATAAAATAAAATGTAACAATACAGAGTAAAATAAAATAAAACAGAATCAAAAAAAAAACGAAGTGAAATACAATAAAGGCAATTAAATAAACTTAAATTTAAACAAATTAAATTACAATAAACTATAAATATATGAAATCAAATAAAATAAGATAAAATAAAAAAAATTATTATAAACTAGAATTAAATAAATTAATAAAAAAATTTAAAATAATATTAAATTAAATAATATAATATAAGACAAAAAGAAATAATTATGTTATTTCTAAATAAAATAAAATAATATACAATTAAAAATAAAATAAAATATAAATTAAAATAGAATAAAATAAAACATTTAAATAAATTTGGCAGGACACTATCTGCCGATACCTGGTACTTGCAGTCTCAAGAAATTATTTATGAATAATTAAATACAATAATTATTTCTAAGACCACTGATGATGGGTAATTGGTAATATTCGAAATAAAATAAAAAAATAAAATAAAATAAAATAAAATAAAATAAAATAAAATAAATGACTTAGAGTAACTGTAAGTTCATTTTTTCAAATGTTTCTACACTTTGAAGAGAATAGATAAAATAAAATTCATATTTTATGTGATAAAGTAAAACATTGGAAATTAGTTTTCATTTTTATTTCAATTTTTTAAAAATGAATTTGCAAACAGATTCCAGTATGAATAACATCCTTATATGTTGCCAAGAGCAGTTGTAATAACACCCCGCCCGGAGGAACAAGTCAAACAAACTTCGAAACGTCAGCGATATTTATATAAAGGATTGTATAAAAATAAAAATTAAATCTAATTAAAAAATTTTTATTTTAATCACGTAAGCCTTTTCAAATAACAAGAACAGTAAAATATATAATATCAGAGAAAAAAATAAAATATAAAAAATTATATTGTTTGGCATGAGTGGTAATGTTAAAATTAGAAGAAGAGCAGTAAAAACTAGTTTCATTTCATTTTAATTGCTAGTTTTGTATAGAAACATAATAATTTTAATAACTAAAGACAACAATAGGTTTAATATTAAAAAAAAATTAAAATAAACTTTGCTGGTAAAGTGAACAAAAATTATTTGTTCGCAACATAATTCATGAAAAGCTGCAGCAAATAAATTACAACTTTAACACAATAAAAATAAACTAATGCAGAAAAGTCAGTTTTAACATACTAACTAAAATTAATTAAATATTTAAAACATTGTACTAAAATAACTATGGATGTAACTAAGTAACAAGACAATGGAACCAAAGAACAAACCTTGTAATTGAAAATTGTAATTAGACTCGTACCTAGAAATTTTATCAGAGAATGTTATCAAATAATTTCAATCATTTAAGCATGTTTTATTTTATTAATTAAAATTATTTATCAATAATTTAATAAATAATAAAATGTTATTGTTGAAATCCACTAGTGTTCGATAAAACCGCTCTATTGAAACAATAGTTTATATTTATGTTGTAATAGTTGTGATAAATATACTTACGATTCATGTGGAAGGTGCTTCAGCAGCATAATTCCACTCCTGGCATTAATAATTTTGTATACCATATACTTATATAAAAATAGAAGAGCACAAAAAATATTCTACTGGAAACTTTTCGTAGACTTGGACATAGTACGCTCCGTTCTCTCATAAAAATAAAAGAGAACCAGAATTAAAGGATTACTGTGATAATATACCAGGTTAATACAATCCAAATCATTTATTGATATCTATAACAATAAGAGATACCAGGATAGTATGTATGAACCTATCAAAAGAAAAAACTTAGAAACATCACAGGAATTCTAACAGGGTACTGTAAACTAAAACACCACATTACGAGACTGGCTATCCTTACGTATGCAAACTGTAGATTTTGTGAAGAGAATGAGGATTCGGCCACACATGTGCTTTTAGAATGCTAATGCCCTGCGCTAATGCCCATATGGAATAGGCTCTTAGGAATGTATATTCTCACGGAAGAGGCAATATAACTCTGTAAAGTTAGTACTATATTACTTTTTATTGACGCAACAGGACTTAAAGACGTACTCTAAACCCAGAAGGGCGCACAATAAACCCGACGGTTGCAGTGCCATATTCCCTAACAATATTAATAATAATATGAGCAACAAAGTTGAACTCTATATATGTTTTATTCTATCATATAACTGAAACAAAGTGCTCATATTAAAATTAGAAATAATATTTCATAAAAGTTATACAATAACTTTTTATAAACATTCCACATCCTCATTGTCCAATCACATCTAAATAACTGTTACTACCTATATTGATGATGAGAACGTTAATCACGATTGTCAGTTTCAGATTTTTAAAAAACAACAATAAAATTTGATTGTGATTATCGAAGGACATCATACATAAAATTATTGTTGTTTTTAAAGCAAAAGATAAAGTTCGATTAAATGTTGGTCATGATCACAAGGCTTTCTGCACCTTCCCACGTTAGTCAAAGCATATTGTTCACTGAAAAATCTCCAAATACGCAACTTTTATAAGCAAATATATATTGTATATATCCATACAAAAAATATTACTTTTAGTTTAAAATATTAGGAATTCTCCTGTTGAAGACAAAAACGGATTTGCCGAAATACGTATAAGGATATACAAAAAAAAATGATCGAAATAAAAGTTAAAATCCTAAAAAACATAACCGACTTTATAATATTTTCGACGTAACAACTCCAAAAATTTAAAACAAAATAACATTACCTTTAATATTTAGGAACACCTAAAAATTAACAAAATTGTTGTAAGAGAATGACATTGATAATTGTGATTTGACTGTCTGCATAACATGATAATGACCACAAAGAACTGACGTAGAACTAGAGAGTATCTGCTTGTAGTTGTAATCTTTAAATTGTTTATTGAAGAAAGCTGAAATACGGTAACATGAAATTTAAAAAATATATAAAGAAATCAACTGATATTTTGTTTAACTCTTAAATATATTTCAATGTCATTCTTCTCAATTAGCTAAAAAAGCCGTTTCGATCCCACATTTCTTCGTAATAGTGGGTAGAAGCATGGTTATGTTAGAACCAGCCGCATCGATGAATGCTTAGATATTGTAAAATAAATTTTACTTACTATATTTGAAAAGATTTTAATATTTGAAAAGATATAAAAGTAAAGCAGTTGCTAAATATTTGATCTATGGATGATGGGTTATTACAAAACGAACAGTTAGATGTCTGATTTGTACTTAAAAGGTAACCGTAAAACAGTTTTGAATATCCAATATGCAATCAAATAAAAATTTTACATTATTCTGTGGTGTATCATTGTGGGTGTATATATATAGAAATAAATACAGTCAAACTTCCATAACTCGAAATACCATTTAGCAAAGGTTCGCCTTATGGAGACTTCGAGTTAGTTTTTTCTTTTTTTTTTTTATTTTTGGAAAAAACTGTAATTACATTTCAAGATATTTATTTATGTGCAATCAAGTTATAGTAAAGTAAAATATACAAAAATTTGGGTTTGGGATTCTAATTTTTTTTCTTTTTTTCTGTAAAGAAATTTCAATTTATTCCAAGCCTTTATTCCAAGAGTCTTCTACTTCATTCTTGGAAGGCTGATGAACAATTTCCCTCACCAAACATTCATCAGTATTTTCCGTTGCGCGTGGAATCGGATCCACTATAATCAGATATACACAGGTGTTCAATAATGTTTAATAATATCGTCATCTGTTGGAAAGCTTGATATACAAAATTCACTGTCAAGTTCAATATAATATAATGGTTAATAATAGCATTGGAAGTTATTTTATTTACGTTATATTTACTTTACTTTTACATCATTTCACGGTCTTCATCAATGTTATTCAAGAAAATTCAAGAAAATTTTCGTCTCATGTGGAAAATTGGCCGAATTCAGCTTTTTTAAAGCAGTGCACTATCATTTGACTACTTGCATCAACATCTCAAGCTTTTGTTACACGATTTATGCAATCCATAAGTGTAATATTTTGCTTTTTGCTTGCTTCTATACTCTATAGCACTTCCTTTACGATTCTGTTACGATAGTTACACTTTTAAACTTGAATTACTCTCTGTTTAAGCAGTTGCAATTTAGAGGTCATATTTTGGCGGTAGAAATGCCAGCGACTGGCATTTGTACAAAGAAGCAATATAAGAAAGAAAATTTTGAAAGATTTGGTTTGGAAAAAGGGATTTCTCTTTGCACCAAAATTAATTCATACTTAAAACAAAAATTCAACTTATAGAATGCACTTTACCATATTTCTATTGGCACGTGACAATATTTTTATTCGAGTATATGAACCCATCAAGTAAAATGTTGCACAAATTGTTTTATTGCTATTCCCGCAACATTTAAATGCAAAGCATCTACATACAATGTTTCTACAACACACAGTTCAGCAACATTGCCACTGAATGTTTTCAATAAAAAAAATCACAGCACACGCAATAAGAGCATAACTGAGCGAACGAGAGCAATCATCGTAGCTCAACTTGTACAAGAACTGCTGCATGCAAAGCCGAAGCAAGTGTAGTTAACGACCATCAACGACCCTACCACCCATGCACACAGCTGAACGATACGACAAACAGCAACCAACCGAAAACCAGTCACAGACATTTTGAGTAAGCGTTTCTTGCAATTTAGTTCAGTCAGTTTCGATAAACCATGCCGAATGGTTGGGTAAATTTCATATCGCGGCTTAAATAAAATCATTTTATTTATATCAAAAATATTGACTAAAGATATTTTGCTAAGTGTAACACGCACTACACAGTATCACGAATTTTTTGAAGTGTAGAGTGAAGTGATTTTATGTGTGCTATCTCAAACTGACATGCAATGAGTGAAAGACCCATTTTAAGTTGCCAAATCCAAACAATAACCAAAATATAATAACGAAGCAAATAAGTAAATTAAATTATTAAAGTAAACGGAAAGCTTGATTTGAACTATTTTTGTCGATTTTCCGATGATTTTGGGAAAAAACGGAAATTAGTGTTTGCATGTATTTCGTGGTTGAAAATGTATGATAGCCTTCGCACGCATCCATTCATTCAGTAAATTAAATTGAAATTTCGGCTTTGAATTGTAACGGTCAGCGGGGTAGGGATATAACGGTGGTGTACCGCTTTGGTGCGAAGCGTTTGCTGTGTGTGTTCGGCGGGTGTGTTTAGATTTTCGTCAAGATTTTCGTTTTTTTTGTATTGAACATACGTACCAAAGTAGGGCCCAATGATAGAGTCCAGTCTCAGGCAACTGGCCGAGTAAAATAGAATTTCGCGTGTTGAAAATTTCGGTTGCGAACTAAAACGCAAACAGGAAAAGGGCATTAATATAAGCCGCCAAAGGATTATCAGTGATAAAGCTAACCTATTCCTATGCGAATCTGTAAACAAATTACACAAACCTAACAACAACAAACAAAAAATATAAAAAAAATAAAACAATAAAACAAAAAAACAAAAAAACATATAAGCAGTAGCGAAAACAATAGTAGGAATTTTTTGTGCTAATTACAATATAACATGAAACAGAGAAGCGGTCGAAACGAGACCAAGTGAAATTTGCTAATTTCAACCGATATTTCGGATATGTTAAACTTGAGTAGCATAGACGTGAAAATGTCCAAGTATAAGAATAAATCAATTTCCCAGCGAAATATTTTTGGCCAAGCGTCATTCCCTGTAGATGAAAATCATGCTGAAGGCATATAAGCTCAGCAGGATTACTAGTGCAACAAGCTCCCAAAGTTATTTCCTTCGGCCACAGCCACAGCCACAGCCACAGCTAGACGAAGTAAAATAAACTAGAACTTCAGAAAGAAATATCAAAAAAATCCATAAAGTAAGTCAGAAAACTGAAAGCCAGAACTTGACGTGATTTAAGAACATTAAAGCATTTTTATTTATTTTAACTTTTGTTTTGTGGATTTTGTTTTTTTTTTGAATAAAAACTCTTTGTGAAAACCATTCGCGTAAAACTACCAAGAAAGCTAAACAATTGCAGAGCCATTATTGTGATTATTAGAACTGCTTAAAGCCGTAAACCTATTAAAATAACTTATATCCCATGAACAAAAATAATGCATATATCAAAGTAATATAGTAATATGTCTTAATTTATTCACACCGAGCTCAGAAAGAACAGAACTGAAGTACCTAAACCAATGAACAAATGAACAAATGAACAAATGAACAAAGTGAGCGGAAAATATGTTAAAGTAAACAAATTTTTTTTATTTTTATTTTTGTATTTTGAATATTTGACTTTATTTTCGGGGCTTGCAAAAATAAATGGAGCCCTGTACTATGCTTAAGTCTAAATAAATTCTTTGACAAAGTACACAAATCATAAAGCAGCAGCTAGTAAAGTGCACAAAGAAATGTGGTAAGCAACGCATGTGGCAGGTCCTGCACACTAAGGACAACATATCAACATTCAGCATATCCTAAAGCTGAATTGCCATAACATATCGTATCGCATATATTTACATACTATATATAAAATTATCTACATATATATAATAATATATAAAAGAAAATATAATAAAGAGAAAATAATACTGTACAAAGAATAAAGTCAGGCATATCTCAGAAACTCGCACAAACTCAGAAAAAATAACAAGAATATAAATTTCAAAGCAAAAATGTTAATTCCTCACCCTCACATAACTAGCGTTAGGGTGTAGGGTGGTATACGTATTGCTACAACAAAAACAATAAAAACAACAAAAGCAACAAAACAGTTAAGTAAGTAGCAACTGAACTAACTAGAATCTTGTTAAATATTTACAATAAAAAAAAATTCAACAAAATGTCAAAATATAAAAGCATAAGCCAAATTGTGAACGTAGCGCACATAAAGCAACAACAAAGGCTAACTTGCAGCCCTAGCAGCAGCGTCTGCAGCAATAGCAACAACAACAACAATAGCAACGGCAACAGCACTAAAAATGACAAGCAAAGGAGCGTCAAGCACATTAGCTCCACTTGTAGATTTAACAGTATTAAAAGAAAGATTGCTCATACGCGCAATTCATGCAGTCCATGCAATTTGAAGAATCAGCACAAACCATGCTTCCTGGTCTGCAGTGCTTATTTTTGCGTCTCCATGCTGTGCATTACAGCTATGGTGCCGTCAGTGGTAGCCTCACGTTACTTACATCATGGCCACTCACGCTATTCTGGCGGCAGTAGTAGCAATCGCGGTTCATCCTATCCACTTGACAGTCATGTGTCGTACTCGCGTAGTCACCACGCTACCGCTAAACATCCACCAATGAATAATAATATAAATAACAACAACAAAAACAACAATGATGTATATTCGGTCGCTGACAGTCAAGCAATGACCGATGACTACATGGCACAGTTCGGCGACCCACAGCCACAATCACAGCCGAGGAATCTATTACCAAATCCTGATGGAAACTTTCCAAGTTGTCAGACGGTTTGCTTTTGTAAGTGGAGAAATGGTAAGCAAACCGTAGAATGTATTGATCGTCACCTCATTCAAATACCAGATACCATAGATCCTAGTACGCAGGTATTAGATTTGTCTGGCAACAATTTACAAACGCTCTCCAGTAAGCTATTTATACGCGCAAATTTGTTGAACTTGCAACGCCTATTTTTACGAAATTGTCGTATAGGTGTAATTGAGCTGGACGCTTTCGAAGGTCTAACGAACTTGATAGAATTGGATTTGTCACAAAACCTCTTAGTAAATGTGCCCACAGATCAAATAAGTCTTATAACATCATTACGCGATCTTAATCTGTCACAGAATCACATACCAAAACTTGAGTCGAGAGTGTTTGCAAGAAATACTGCTATACATAAACTGGATCTATCCTATTGTGAGATGAAGATAATAGCTCCAGAAGCATTTTATGGACTTAATCTAATAATACAATTACGTTTAAACGGTAATAAACTTAATGTGTTTCCACCAAATTTGACTGAGTCATTAAACTCTCTGCATAACATTCAAATTCACGATAATCTCTGGCAATGTGATTGTCGTTTGCGAGAACTAAAGAATTGGTTAGTAGTTAAAAATATACCATATCCGGTCGCGCCTTTGTGTGCGGGTGGGCCGGAGAGACTCATTAAACGCACATTTTCCGATCTACAAGTTGATGATTTTGCTTGCAAACCTGAAATGCAACCCATTAACCACTACATTGAAGCGATTATAGGGGAGAATGCAACAATAACATGTCGTGCTAAAGCAGTACCTGCTGCAGTAATTAACTGGTTTTGGAATGGACGTTTACTGGGCAATAATAGCGGCTTTAACGCGTATCAACGCATTTACATTTACGAAGATGGCACCACTGCAAAGCGTTCGCGTCTCGTATTGACCAATGCGCAAGAAATTGATTCCAGTGACTTTTATTGTGTCGCCGAAAATCGTGCTGGTACTTCAGAAGCCAATTTTACGCTACGTGTCACCATTCGTCCAGCTGGCATAGGTGCATTGGGCAGTGGACAAATTGTGGGTTTAAGTGCAGCAATTGTTATTTTCATTGTATCGGTTTTGATGTTGATAGCTTTCATATTAATGCGTATCAAAGGCCAACCGTTCCTCAGAAGCAAAACATCAACTCAAGTCGAAGTTGTGACAAGTGTTAATAATCAGAATACAATCACAAATAAAATTCAGCCACCCGGTGGGAATGGCAGTATTGGTGGTATTGTCATTGCTAATGGTGCTATATCCAATTGTATTGATAGCAATATCACAATTGAACGTAGAACTAGCGCAGTTATCTGTAGTGCTGATGGTAAATTCGCAAACCCAGTGCAGAAGCCACCACGACTCAATGATTTTCCCTATTCTAATAACGGTTACGAAAACAGCGGCAGTGTGTTGTCTACAGCAGCTTGCTTCATTTCACCCACATCTTCTGCTGGCAACAACCCAGATCTTATTAACGATACTAAACGCTTTGGTAGCGATGAATTTGTTGACCTGAAAATACCTCCAATTTTGACTTCTAATTTGAATACCGAACTAGGTGGTTCAAGTGGTGAATACAGTCGCGCTGGTGGTTGTGATTCCTTATATCCATCAGGTTTATGGGAAAATCCACCGAATGGTACTAGTTCAGCTGATGATTTGTTCCTTAAACGCTACAATGAAAAGACACCCATCATTGAATCTACACAATTATATGACCTACAGGAACGTAATACTAACTTATTTAGCAAAACATTTCCACGCACACATTACAATCTGCAAACAAACATCGGTACCAACAATAATGGGCATAAGAATCCATTGCCATCCACTTCAAGTGCTGCACTTATGGGTATGGGCGCACAATCAACAACCTCCACCGCAACAACTAATTTGTCCAACTCTTCTGGCGCTAACATTGGTGGCTATCCAAATGATTACGGTTTACCTTTAGTACCCGGAGCTGAACACCAGCATAATCATCATCTTCAAATGCATCCCTTGCAACAAATGCAACAACAGTTAGGCAATTCTGGTGGCAGTGGCAGCAATAATGCTAGCCCCAACTTCAATGTACGTCACTTACCACGCTTACACGATAATACCAGCAGCGCAATGTCATCTCACATGCCCGGCACATCCGGCTCCGGCATTTTACCTAGTGGACAACCTGTCAATGCTAAAACTATACGTGTCTGGCAGCGTGGTGGCGTACCAGTGCTACCACCAGTCACCAAACTCAATCACACACTCGGCAACAAGGTCTATGGCATACAAGATGATGGCTTCCCAGACGGCGGCACTGATGTCTAAGCTGTTTTCCTATTTATACTAAACAATTTTAATTAAACTTCATTATAATTTTTTAACAAAGTTCTAAATAATTTGCCGTGTAGACTTGTCATAATTAAATCAATTTCCTAATTTATTTAATTTTACTACGATAATTTGATTACGTCTAAATTTGCATTAATTATGCTCATTCCTCCTAATTATCGTTTCTACCCATCCCTTTGGAAACACATGAAATATTTGGAGCAGAAATGTTTTGTACTTTTAATACGAGTAAGTAAGGCTAAGAGGAGCTAAGAATTTGAAGTTGAAACTGAAGCCGAAGCCGAACTGAAGCCGAACTGAGGCCGAACTTAAGCTGAAATTAGAATTGAAGCAAATTGAAGCCGAGCTTCAAAAGTTCGGTGAAAACGAGATTGTGATAGTGTTGCGTGAAGTTGCAGATAATAATTAGAAAGATGAAATTACTTTCGAAGCAAAAAGTATTATAATTAATTTATAAAATATTTAAACAAATTTAATTAATTAATTAATTTAATTATAATTTTCTTACACTTAAATACATACGTACTTACATTCTTAATTAAAAAAACAAAAGCAATCTCTTTGCTTACAAAATAATTTCATTAAAGAATTTAACAAAAAAAAACAAAAAAATTTAAATGAGACAAAATAACATGACATAAAAACATATACATTTTAAATGTTTTAATATTGATTGTCAAAATAATAGGCAAAAAATGGAAAACAAAATAAATTGAAAACTTAAATTAATAAAATATATAAGTAAATAAATAAATGTATTGAAAAAAAAAATCTATTAAATGATTTAACAACTCCTCTTGCTGCGGCTGCTGCTCTTACGACTAAACTATGTAACTAAATGTTTTTACAACATATATGCAAAATAAAATAAAAATTTATTAATTATATATATGTATAAATATATATAAATTTTTTTGTATGCATATATATGTGTGTGTGCGACATTTATGATGAAGTTTTGCAGCGGCTAAAAATTTTAAACCAAATAAATAAACAAACAATAAATGTATGTAAGTTAAAAACCAATTCAAATATTTGACAACAATATTTTATTTAATTTATTTATATATTTTTTTATTTAATTTTTTTAAATTTAGTTTTTCGTTTTTCATTTTTCGTTTTTCATTTTTCGTTTTTCATTTTTTCGTTTTTTCATTTTTTCCTTTTTGTTTTAATTCTCGAGTATATAGTATGGTTTGTGTATGTCAATATTGTTATATCTGATAAGTTAATTTGTATAGATTATTTTTTATAAAAATATTGAAAATGAAGTCAAAGTCAAACATTAAGGATAAATTGTTAATGTTCTTGTTATTACAAAAAAAAAAACAAAAAAAATATATTATATATGGAAATAAAGGTCTCAGGACACAGGACTGCGGACTATGAAAATATGTTTTAATTTTTGCTATACAAAATTAAGATTGCCTGAAAGAGAGTATCTACTCTTGATGAATTAAATCTTCAACAAAATCTTCAAAACAATCTACGCCCAAAGCCAGATTAATGTGAGTGATGAATATAATAGAATTATAGTGACAGTCCCTTATTATTGTAGCCAGCAACAGTTGTTTAACCATTGACATTATATTAAAATATATTCAATATAAGATTACAGACCAAAGATAATATCATTATAACTTGTAATTAAATTATAACATTAATGAGACTTCACCATATATCAGTATTTCTTATTGTTTTTTGTTTTTAAATATACTCTTGTAAATGTATGTCCACTAAAGAATCAATATTTGATTTATTTTTGAAGAGTTTAAAAATTAAAACTAATAATAAAAAACTATTCTATGTTAACTTAATTTCATTTCAGTATTAAAATTTTGATTTAGTTTATTTAAAGACAACTTATAAATATAATAATAAACAATTATTATATTATATATTTTTTATATGAAACAGGCATCAACAGGTATAATTTACAGTTCTAAAGTTTAACCAATAATTTGAGAGCTCTTATATCTTATATTATTGTTAATATTATTTATTATTTATGATTTATAGTAAGCATTATTATTATAATCTTACAATAAAAATTCGTTTAATTTTATTTCAAGACAGATGTTAAGTCATATGTTAATATGATTCTATACTCGTAGAAGGAACATATAGCCTCTATTAGTAATTTAGATCGCATTTTCTTTAATGGGAATAGGCAACAATGTCGTTCCATGAATAATTTAAACCTTTTAATTGGCGTTCCACTGTTGTCGTCTAAGTCACGACGCTATGTTTAGTATTTTGCTGGCTACAACTCAACATCTGTCGAGCAATATCGCAGCTTGGTGCTCTAAGAGTATGCACTATCTAGTCCCTTTTGATTTACTGAATTTCTTCTGTTACTCTGATTTGTCTTGTCCGAGCATACAGATCGAGGTACAAAAACGCACCATTTAATATTAGTTAATTTTACTTAATACATATTGTAGATTTTTTATATGTCAATATATGAAAAAAGAAAATTATTTTTTTTGTTTTAAAGTCAAGAATGTATTTTTGGATTTAAAATAACTTTATTTAAATTATATGTAATACTTACCTAAGTGAGCAATTAAAATTTTATGCCTACAAATTGAGTTATTTATATTACTAATTCGAAACACATTTCTAATATCATATTCAACTAAGTTTCTGACAAGATATTTAGGAACTTAACGTATGGTCGATATTATTCTATCCAAGGACAATTATATCTGTTCGATACATTTCTTTAAGTTATATACTCAAAGGTGTGTAACATTGATTAAATATGTGGTGTGTATTGCTCTATTCTATTAATTAAAATTCTAAAATAAAAATAATTAATTAAAATTCTATTAATTAAAAATAAATAAAAATTTTGTTGTTACTATACACTACTGTTTGGTTCTCACTTTTAAATACAATAGTTTTTTTTAATTAAAATATACACTACCGTCATAACTGACGTTAAAATTAAATTCAATATTTTATGAAAAGCAAAATATCACAAACCTCTATCACAAACCATCTGAACCTAACCTATCCCATGATAGCTTTCATGAGAGAAAGTTTTTTAAATAGACATACTTTTGTTTACAATCACTTTCTGTATATCGGCGATTATATTAGTGTTGAGGAATATTTTTTATTCCTTTTCAAATATTTTGGTTGGAACCGTACGCATAGAGCTTATGAGTATCTGATAATTTTCGGTTCTCTGTTGATTCTGTTTAGTGTTAATAGCTTTGTCGTTTAATAAGACTGTATTTAAGTAATATTTTAAGGACAGTTTTTGGACCTTTAGGACTATATATAATATATACTTGTAATATTTTAAACTTTTATATATATATAATATATATTCATAACGTTTTTGGAGCTATTATATATATTTGTAACATCATATATGTGCAAATGAAGTTTTATATATAATGTTGAAATTTTATTCTAATATTATTATTCTAATAATATTACTACAATATATATGTAGCTATTTATCGTTATGGTTGATTTTGACTTCTCTAAAAAACTGTTATGGTTGATTTTGACTTCTCTAAAAAACTGTTAGGATAAAAATTATTTTTAATTGTATAAATGAATTAATTACATCAAATAAAAACTCAATAAGGTTTTAATATTAGATGAATTCACTTGTGAATCTGCTTCCTACTAAATCGTATAAGATTTCAATAAATTTGTATAGTACATATTGTTTATTATTTTTTAATTTAATATTTCTCAAAAGATATATATATATATATACGTATTAAGTAACTTTTATATTATATATAAATATATATAAATATGAATATTTTTATATTGTGCATATATTATGTTGAAACTTTATATATTTAAATAGACTAAAAAATATATTTCTAGTTATACATTAAAATGACACTACACCTAAATTTAAAATTATTTATAAGTAATTGTAAAAAGTATTTATACATTTATTTATATATTCAATTTAGCTAAATTATAATTATTATATATTAATATTGTTGTTAAGCAAATGTGTACATATAATTTTTATTTTTAAGTAATATTTTAAATATTAAATTTTTATACATTAATTTTGATATTTATTTAAGTTTTTTTCATTTTTTTTTTTGAATTTACTTTCTATAATATATATACATATATATATATTATTCTACTGTATACAAAGACAATTAAAATAATAATTCAAAGAATTACTAAAAATATTTTCCTTAGTATTAAATGTATGAATGTAAAATTTTAGACAAAAAAATATTTAATCTATGTGTGTAGTATAAATGTAAATTAAATTAAAAATATCTCAATGTAATTATAAAATATAAAATTTTGTTTTGTTATTATTTGCAAAAATATCAGTCGAAATTATAAATTATCATTATTTGGAATAAATTTATAATAACATGATTGGAAGAAATATTTTTAAAAAAATAATGAGATGACTCTTCTACCGCAATAGACTAGTTTAGAAAAAATTATTCAAATAGAGAAAAAATCAAGGCCCTGTAGCAAATTTTGTACGCGGAAAATAGAAAATAGAAAAATTGACATTAAAAAACAAAAACTTTAAATATTAACTAAAACTGACAAAAAATATATACATATATGGAACTATCCAAAAAAAATAGAATAAATTATTATTAAATCTTAACAATTAATTATACATATTATATATATTTATATATATTATATACAATAAATGTATTTAAATTAAATGTATTACTAACAGTGTGTAAATGTTAAATATAAAATTTTTGAAAAACTTCTACAAAACCTAAACAGTAAGAGTATATTAAAGGCATATTGAACATGTTTACATTATAAGAAACTTATAAAAATAATTCGATGTAATATTAAACATATTTAAAGACAGAAAAATATTAACAATTAATTAAGAACAATATTTGATATTTGAAGTAATATGTGAAATGAAGTTTCACGTACTGTGCGCTCCTACATCCTGAATCTAAACAAGACAAACTTGCATCAAAGATACATACATACATACATACATATATAGGTATAATCGTATAAATGTCTATGTGTAAAACTAAATGTATTTTGAAAATATATAAATGTTGAATTACCAAAAATAAATATTTGAACATTGTAAATCTGTACTTGCATCCAACAACATTACAACATTCGATTATAAATCTACATATCGAATTGCTTAAAATTATTAACTAACTATGCACGTTAAGATACGCGAAATAACATTTACCAAAAAAAAAAAAACATTTTTATCTATGTGTGCAACAGTATATACATTTAGCATAAGAAACAATTTAAAAACAAAAACAAATTAAAAATAAATTAAAATAAAACTAAAACTAAACTTAAATAAAATAGAATAAATACGAACAAAAGATCGTACATTTCAAATAGTAATAAAAATAATTTTCGCTGATTTTTTTGCTCTTAATTAACAAAATAAGAATACTATTAATATATACATTTATATATATATTTATGTATATATATTGATATACACGATAATGTAATTAATTATAAGCATCTGTTAACATTTTGAAAAAAAGGTTTGAGAACGAAATCCATAGCATAATTTCAGGCTTTGGAATGAAACTTATGTAGTTCAAAACGTCGAGAAA